AAGTGGATGATAGAATGTAGTCTGGGGAAGGTGGCAGGGACAAAACCTATTGAGAGCTACAAAAGATAGGGGGAAGTGGAGAGCCATGATCGCCTATGTCCTGAAGGGACACAGCACATAAAAAGAATCTCTAGCTTTTGTTGTAAGTGTGAAAAAAATGATGAAATATATTTGGCTTTTATTGCTTGGCTTTAAAAGTTCAATATTGTAACTCTGTCCCTTTACTTTTGTATTTCTGCCATAGATGGTGAGAAAATGTACAAAACATGTGAACAACTAAACATTTGGCCAGAGGTATCATCAAATTTGTGAATTTAATAAAAAAAAAAATCCCCAAAAACAGAAGAATGTTCCCAGACAAAGACCTTCTCTGTGGTGCTGTCAAATGTAAATGGCATTTTATTTCCAGTGAAATTGCAGATTTTTATGTTTTGTTTGAAAGACATTGAACTGTTTCTGATAAAATATCAGAGCAATAAAACATGCTTCCTTTCCTTGCATGATCTACTGTAATTTTGTCGCATTAACAAAATCTGACTCGAGCAACAATCTGAATATGTTAATGAAAGTTTAACTTTAAAAGGAAAAAATTTAAAGGGTGAAGGGGAAAAATAAAGTAGAAGAAAATAAAAGGAGGCAATCCCTATTTATAATTCAAGCAGGTTTATTTAAACACAGGTAACAAAAAAAAATACTGTGAAGCTGCATCATGCAGGAAATCTTTAACACAAAAAAATATACAAAATGAAAAAATTGTCCATCTACTGTGATACAAATACAAACAACAAAAGGGTGTATTGCTTTACACCTTTTATTAAAGTTCAAATATTCTTGTTCTGCTTTTCTTTCCTTAGAGACACAGATTTTTCTTTCTTTTTTTGAGATCTCTTTTCGGATTAGACCTCTTCTCTTGTAGTCTGTGTGGGGAAAGCTTTGTCAGCACATGTGGGGTCTGACAAATTCTTGAACAAGTCAGTACTCCTGCTTTTCTTCTATCAGGATAATTTTAATACCTTCTCAAAATCTTCTCTTATAAATTCTTTTTCTTCAAGGGAGATCTTCTCATTATTTTTACGTTCCTCATAAGAATTTGTCCTTTATTGAATGAGTTCAGTTATTTCTGTTAATTTCTTTTGGGTTCTTCGAATGAACTCCATATAAAAACAGATAAAATTACTGTGCCCTTTTTTTTTTTTTTTTTTTTTTTTTTTAAACAGCGGAGCAAAATCCCATCCTTCCTTGTGGGCCTGCTAAGTTTCAAACTGATAATTCTTCTTGCTCAAACTTCAATGGTCACTATGTCTGCATCTGGAACACAGCCAATGAGAATTACTACTAAATTTTAAAAAAATAAATAACCCCTATGGATTCAATCAACAGTTCACTTACTACCAACTTGTTACAACAAAGTCATGGGCAAATGTTGACATTCCCCTCAAGAAAATCATTTCTTCCTAAAATTTTCCACAGATCATGAAACTGTTAAGATTTGTAAAGGAAGAGCACACTAAAAAGATAATTACATTTTCCAAAATGAATGAATTTGTAAGAATTTTGTCAAACCCAAACATGCATAAAGATACTGCAAAGATTGAGTGTGCATTTCTGGCAGATAATGCTATGTAGAATTTATCCAAAAAAGGAAATGTATAAACAAATGATCTGTTTGCATGCAGAATTACAACAAAGACAATGTTCATCACCATCATTAAGAAACTTCTGGCAAATTCTCACCTTAGATACTCTCTTTTGTAAGGTCACTAGTGTAGCTGAACTCAGGACAATTTGTGAAAAAAAAATTTGCTACAGAAGGCAGTCTAAAAAGATGTCTTTCTCACATAATTGATAGAAAACAAATTAGCAAGTCTGATTGTAATGACATCAGTCAGTACAAAGAGTTTGAGGAGGAGGCTGCTTTCAAGAATTTCAGTAGGCATAAAGACCATCTGGACACTTTGTTCTACTCTTCTTTGTCTTGCAACAAAGAATATTAAAAACTGTTTGCAGATTGCTGGTACTATCTCATGGACAGGCCTCAATGGAGAGGATTTCTCAGTCAATAAGGAAATTTCCACTGACAATATGAAACAGCAGAATCTGGTCACACATTGCATTATCATGGACTATTTGGCTACAGTTGGAGGTGCTGGGAATGTTTCCATGACTAAGGCTCTTCTCTGCAGTGCTTCCAATGCCAGAACAGCATACAACAAATACCTTGAGGCTGAGAAGAAAAAATCCATAGAGATATCAACTGGAAGCGGAGCTGAATGCTAAAGTAGATGAACTGAAAAAATGTTGACATCATTGTGCTCTGTGCAACAAAAGCCATGAATAGTAGGGGTAGCTAAAATGTGTAGTCTTTTTGTGTAAATTTCTATTTGTAGTTATGTTCATTAAAATCATAACTTCTCAGGAGTTGTGCAGCATTCAAGAATTTTTGTGGCATTCACAAATGATGAGTAATCTAGATAGCTGAAATGTAAGAATTAATGTGCGTAATTCAAAATTTTCAAGTGTAGTAGAACTCCCAACTGTGTAGAATGCTACACAAAATGTGCAACATAACCAGATCTGCATTCAGTTGTGTGTTAGCCTTGAACATTTGGATTTCTTCACTGTTTTCAACTGATCCATATGACATGAATTATTGGAACCAACTGTAGCTTCTTTTTTTTTTTTTTTTTGAACATCTCATCTGTCAATCTAAAAATAAATTGCAAAGTTTTTTTTAAATTGATGACCAATCCTGGAAAAGTAAAGTCCTTAATTTTTTTATACAGATCTGTGGGAACCCTGGTTTTGGATGCTTACTCAAAATGGATGGAGGTATGTTTAGTGAAAACATCTACTGCTCCAGCTACAATTAAGATGAGAGGAATCTTTGCAATACATGGGCTGCCTGGGTTGGTGGTGATTGATAATGGTCTGTTTTACTAACCAAGATTTTAAAATATTCATGAAAGTCAACATAATTTAACATATTTTCACGGTTCCCTATCACCCATCATCAAATGAGCAGGTGGAGTGCAGTGTGTGCACATTCAAGGAAGCACTGAAAAAGATGGCAGATAGGAAGACAACACTTGAAACCAAGGTAAACAGATTCTTGTTTACGTTTAACAACTCCTTACACAGCAACTGGGATTCCCCCAGCTGAATTGATGTTCAAGTGGCAATTAAGACCTGCCTTTCATTTGATGAAGCCTGACACTTATTGTGTTCTAAATTACAAATACAAAATGGAATGGGGAACTAAAGTCATGATCCCATTTTAAGAATTCAAAGTTGATGATCAAGTTCTGGTATGGAATTTTAGATCTGATCGATGATGGATGGAAGGTACCATTATCAGACAGTTGGGAGCAGTAAATTTTGAAATGGAGGCAGGAGAGGGTTGGTGAGGAAACATGCAGAACAGCTTTTGAAACTTCTACCCAGGTTTACAGAGGAAGGGATACCTGATGTCCAAATAATCCGGGAATTCCTGTTCTTCCTGAAATTCCTGAAGAAATCATGGAACCGAATGAAACGCCTATAAAGACTGCAAGACTCACAACACTTTCAATTCGTACATCAGGTTACATACTTAAACCACCAATTGAGTTGAATGATTATGTCTGTAGCCCCAAGTAAGGTTGGAGGGATGTTATATATTGAACTGAGATGTGTAGTTGTCCCTTTGTCTCAAGTGACCCAACATATTGGGTTATCTGTTCTCTACTTGTGGGGGCATCTTTTCATACCTAATAATAAATGGGCAGTGATGAACAGCTGCATGTTTATACTCTTAAGTAAATTCTGTCTTTTGTAGTCTTTATCAGTTTCAGCATGTTTGAATTGTACACAATAGAAATACTAAGCCATCCTTTACAACTGAACAAAAATGGAGTATAAAAAATGTAGAGGATTTAGGATGAAGGGAAATGATTGGTACTGTTGCAATTGGCAGAGAAGATATGGGTTAGCATCAATAACATTAGTGATTAAAGGCGATCATAAGAAACAGGAAAAATGTGGGAGCAGAAAAAATTTGCCATATTGAGAATGTCTTAATTGGGTATATGAACCAAGTAGCAATACCATTTGCATAGTGTGATCAAATGGTCCTCAAAAGAATAAGTTTCCCAATGAAGACAATATGTGGCATCTTATTAATGCCAGTCAACCTCAAATTGTGTAAGTTGATAACATCTGACTAATGCAGTACATGGTACAATTGCTAACTTCAAACATATCTGTAATAGATGTGTGTATTTTCTGTAGAAGCAATATTGAACAAGATTCTGGAGTTCCTTACAGAATTTATGAAATTTTGATGTGAAGCTGTTAATAAAATTTTGTTTACAACACCAGTAAAAATAAATTTCCTAAAAGAAAAAAAACATTCCAGGAGTTATACAAAAATGTATAAATTGTTGTTTGATTGGATTTCTGCTGAGATTTGGAACATCATTTCTGGTTAAGATCATAGTAACTGCTAAGTACATTTTCAAAATTGACAATATTCAAACTTTGCATAAAAGTTGTATGAAAATAGAATTCAATTTTCTTCTTTCACAATGTCTTATTTATTTGACTGTGCAATAGTCTATAATGAAACTCTAGTACCATAAGTTGGAATGTAACTGCAATTGGCTACTCACTGACCCTGTTTTTTTAATTGTTGGAAAAATGTTTACATGTTTTTTATCCCTCATTAACTCACATGATGCAGTACAAATTATTTTCAGCTCTTCTGAAACTGGCTTTCCAAAGATACTAAAGGAGAATGGGCAAAATTGTTTTACATGATTTTTTTTGTTAAAAGTATATTTCAACCCTCAATTTCTACTCTCTAAACACATCCCAAGAAATACCATATATTTTTAAAAGTTCAATCGTTTTTCTTTTGAATGGTATATGAAACTAAACATTTCTTTCAAGGGACAACAAGTGTTAGGACAGTCTAGCCACCTCACTTCTGAAATAGTAAATCAAAATGACATTGACTCTAATTCATGATGCTGTTGTCTCCAATTTACTTCTATTTCATAATGTTGTTGGTAAGTATTCCTATAATTCTTCAATAAATCTGCTTTTTAATGCTTAGTACTAGTGATAATATTTGCTGACGTAAATGCGTGGGCTAAATTATTTGCTTAGTGCATGACAGTGTTGCATGACAAATATCACATTTATTTCACTGACTGGTCAGAGTTTGAATTAAGTATTTCTTTTTTAAAAGTGGAGAGTTCAAACAAACCTTATGATTTGAGTAAATGTATGTATTAAGTGAATATCTATTTATAAAGCACTGCATTTAAAAATATTTTTTTAACTTTAAGTGATAATCAAAAGGAGGTAATTTTGGAAAATATAAGTTTTTACCAAATTTGACCAGTAACTTTCAATGTACTTTTTCTTGAGATTTATATATTTTTTCTTCTGAATTGTCATTTTTCTGAATATCTTGTGGATCTAGAGTTTTCTCTTTTCAAGCAAAGCATCTTTTATATGCTATGTCTTTTTATTACATGCATGGACGTGGTCCTCCATAACTTGCTATCATTTGAAGTCCTAATGAATAGTTGTCTCTTTACTATCCCTCCCAGGCCATGTTATGCCATCCTTTTATACAATCTTGTTAGGTACTTTACTTGACTTGATGTTTCCCTCTTCAGTATGTCTTGTTTATGTCAAATTCTCCAAGCCCTCTTTTCTCATTATGTGTCCCAGAAATTTCAACTGTCTCTTTTTGATTCTAAGCACAAGTGTGACTGAAAAGAAAACAGCATGATTTACAGACAGATCTACCTGTCTATAACTAAGGCATCAGGCCTGTGGAGAAAACATTGCCTTTTTGGACAAGATTTCTTTTCACATACTTGTAAAACATCATTCTGCATTTATTTACTTTTTAGGTACTTATTACATTTTTGGAAAAACAAAATCATGTTCAATATTTATTTACACATAAACCAAATGTAGTTGTATATAATCAGCATGTGTTTCAAAGTTAAAGCAAATTCATGCATTAGGTCAAAAGTATGTCTATTTTTGCTTTGTGTATATCCTGCATGTCACATTTGGGCTAAATTACTAATTTTGTGGCAGCATGACATTGGCATGCATTGTTTAATGAACTGGAAAAAAATAAACACGTATTTCTTGGAAGAATTAATTTCAGGTTGGTCTCTCTTCTATATAGGATGGTATGTTCAGCAAAAATAAACACCTTGTCTGAAATTACATCATGGCTATTTATGTATTTTGTGATTTTCATCCTTGTGTTATTCTTAAACTGCATGTCAGAACCATTTCATATTGTATACTGTAAATCTCGTTATACTAAAACAGTCAAAGTAAATATAATCTGTGTTTTTCTTTGTTATGACCATATATTGTTAAACATGGTTGCTACTGCTTAAAAATTCATAACAAAAAATATTTAAGATATGGAAATAATTTTTTTGTATTCTACTCAGAATGAGTATATAACATTTATGGTTGATTTTTAGTCAAATTTTAGCTGCTGCTACTTACTAGTATCCTGATCTTTTTGTTTGGTGAAAATGTTCATGTTGAGGAAAATGTTGACTAAGCCCATGAGTTTAAGCTGAAAAGTATGAAAATCTGTAAGAAGAATGCTTAAGAACTGGTTGGAGGATTGTTGTAATGTAAGCAAAGTGTATTTTGAGATTGTGGGAAACACCTAACCAATTGTTCTCTCAGCAACTACAGGGATAAATAGGTAGAGAGGGGAAAGAAAGAGTTAACAAAAATAACACTGCCTCAGAAAGCACAGCAACATAAGGAACAAGATGCCTACAGGACTGACTTTACAAGACAGTGTCATGTCAAGTGCTGACTGCTGGTTTTGCTGTCACTTTTATTAGCATGAGGCATCTTACAAAGGCCTGGATCTTGAGCAGTTGCCATAGGCATACCAAGCTGCCCTGCTGTTAGCAATGAGACAACTTGGAAAAATGAGGAAAACCCAGATATGACTGGTGTTGACAAATATGTCCACATGCGGTCCAGGGACTATTGCCTCTTTACTGATGCGCGTTTCAATATGTTGAAGTTAGATTCTGTGGTCTTATTGCTAATTTTGGCATACACAACTAAACCAGGATTGTCATTAACAAGAAAGAGACTGTGATGAAAAATTAAGCCTGGTAATATGAGGTATTATTGTAATCTCCTGGGTAGTGAAGTGATAATGATTCAGCACCCAAATCATGACTGAAACAAAGGTCATCATATGGAGGCATTGCTGCTGTTTTTAGAGCATTAATTGTATGGATGTCAATGATCATAAGTTTTCAGGTGAAGTCATGGCGAGGATCCTAAATGTTTTTTCTCTTCATTCATTATAAATTACAATATTTTTTAAAAGCTCCATTCTAAAACATTGAAATTTTACTGATGTAAAATTGGTGAAAAATCTATGCAAAGTTTTATTCTCAATATTCTTTTCTTAAAATATTCTTATTGATATCTGAAATGCATAACCCCACAATAAATTTGTTAAAATAGTAGAAATTTAAGAGTTAAAATGAAGATTTGTGTAAAAACATAAAATATTAATTTAAATAACTTCTAGTATCTACCTTATAATAAATTATAATGCTGTCCAGTCAGCCGATGAGCTAAAGGGCTCACTGAATATATGATAATGGATGTCAATGTCAGATTTCTTCCATCGACCATTGGTTGCAGGGATTTCTACAGTTGTCAAGAAGTCCAGTTGAATGCCCACATTGTAACTGACCAGAAGTCTGCTGCAGGATTTGGTATACTACAGCTAACGGCAGCTTTGATGATTATATAATGAAGGAGACCACAACTTTTTTCAACTTTAACAAATCATTTATACAAGGTAATATCAGAAAAAATACAAGCTTAAAAAAATGTGGGAGTGACAGACCTTATACCTTAAGACTTGGGTTCTTAGTTGGTCACTCTGGGCATCTAATTGTTGGTTTTAGGTTGGTACATGATCATGGGTTCTGGAGGTAGCCTACTCAGTTCTTAGGCACATTCTGATTCAAATCTAAGTGATAACTCTTTCTTGGGATTCTTCTGTGGATTTTGCTGAACTACTTTGGAGTTTGCTGATCTGTTCCACCCGACTTGTGGTTCTACTCTGCTTAACCTGTGGCCCTGTTCTCACTGAAATCCTCAAAATGCCCAGTTTAAATAATACTTTGCCCAAAACCAGGTGGGAGGTCTGACTGGCATAGAATTATCAACCATTCCTTTTGTCTCAACTGATATTTTCCAATTTTTTGGCAATTATCAAGCCCCTCAGTGGCAGTGAGAAGGTTAATCCACCCATCAAACCCCAAATTGCCTTCTTCAGCATCTCTGACTTCCACTCATAGCTGCCACCTCCTCTTCTTCTTCCAACTTCCTTAGAAACAACCTATTACTACTCTCTTTGGAGTGTCACTTGATCTTGGCCAATCCCTTTCTAAAGAGTGTTCTGAACTTTAACTAAAAGCTAACCATCTTATGGAAAAGATCACCCCATGAAAAAATTATCTTGTTTCTGCTGGAGACTGCCATAAGCATGAAAAAATGGCTGTATGGATTTATTTTATAGAGAAATAAAATCTCCAGAAAAAGATAAAAAATATTTAATTCTCTTTTCTTTCAAGCCACATGCAGCACTTTCACTAATCCATTATCTTCAAGTGAAAAATTATCCAAATCAGCATCCTGTTTTAAGTCTGAATGAAAGATGTTTTTCATCAATCTCGACTACCTGAAATTGCTTCATAAAAAACGACTCTGTGACTGGTCAGCGGTTACTTTCAGCATATTTTGATATCCACTTAGAAAACTTATTCTCTTGTATTAAATATAAAATTTTTAACATTAAAAGATATTGAGCAAAAACGAATTTATATAATGTCAAGATTAATCAATGAATCAGATACCATTGATTGTTTAAAAATATAAAGGGAACAGATTAATTAAATGGGTCATTGGCCTTTATTTTAGTTGTGAATTCTATATCTTCTCTTTATTGAATCTCAGTATATTGTTTCAAAACTTGTTTCATTGCATCTCAATATTAAAACATTCTAACAATTGCTATCATTTTTGATGGCACAAGTACACTAGTAGTTAGCAAATTTTTAGTTTGTTCCTTAATCTGAAGGATAAAGGAAAAGATAAAGTCTACAAAATTTTCACTTTCGTTGATTTTTCTTCTGTAATCTTATTTGATAATCCGTCTATAAACATTAAACAAATTTTCTCTGTTGTCAGCATTGCAGTTTTATCAATATACATCTAAAAGTGAGATATTTTGTGTGATTGACTATGACTAGAGAATGTGTATTGATTATTGTTAAAAATCTGAATAATTGGATTCTTTTTTAATAAGCCTAATATATTTACATAACATCTGATGAAAATATCTTTTAATAGATTTTTAGATTATATTCTAAATCTTTTTGAGAACCATTAGACTAATTTGTTTCTTCACTGTACACAGTACCAACCAAATCGAGGAATGGAAAGTGTCAATTAAGTTTTTTGTTATGGGCTTACAATATGAAATAAACAGTGTTTCCTAGTTGTAGAAAATATTTTCTGAAATAGGCAGTAAAATGAATTAAGTAAATTTATTAAATTTGTAAAAATCTACAAGTAAATAATAAAATTAGAGAATTAATTGATTTGTAAATAATTTATTTAACATGTAGAAACATTTGAAGATTAAAATAAAAATACTTCAATGTTTTATCATAAAAATATGTTTTGCCAAAAATATATTTGTTTTTTTAATTTAATATCAGAAAAAAACAGTTTAAGGAATATTATGTTACTTAATCTTTGGTAACATGACTGTATTCTGAGATCATCATTATCATCCCTGAGCTAGCTAGAATTAGTACTAAGCTTGAAAAAGTAATTTTAGGCCAATCAACTTGCACCAATTTAAAATCTTTTATTGGAGCGAAATACTAATATATATCATATGTGAATTTGGGAGGTCATCAGAAGCCTCTTTTGAGCTACTCCCCAACTTACATTTTGTGAATAGTAA